GGACCAAGAGTCCTTTCCACGCTACACTCGGGTGAAAACTGTTCCTTGATTTGCAGGCCCACATCCTGTTTGCGCGGCCTGTCGCTGCTCGTGCCCTTGCCTTGCATGTCTCCAAGGTCAGCTGGGTCAGTGCTGTTTGCTCTGATAGTCCAATCCATTCACCTATTACATTAGTCTCCTCCCCACTGTATCCTGGATACTGCTTTAACTATTCTGGGATTGAACTCGAAAACAACAGAAACAGATTTTTGGCAATGATCTGACCAACTAATTCCCAGTATTTCCAGCTTAATTAAATCTTCCCTCCCCCAATTAGTCAAGGCAACTTTACTGAAATATACGGACGTCAAAAAACTTAAAATGGCAGTTTCCGTATAAATTCTAATTCTCACAATGCAAAAAAAATGCTGAAAAATCTCTTTAAGTTGTTAACCAACATATCTGCCATGCAGAACTTTATAGGGCTTGTTACTAAAATTTGGTGTCCTTTCTTTAGTAAATTTTTAAGACGACATACAGAGAGTAAAGTAACCCTATCCAGTAAAATTGTTAGTGAGAACTAGAAGTCGCTAACGCAAGGCCACGCTCCTGGACCAGACTAAAGCCTATTTTTCCCCTGAATCTTCTGATCACAAGGAGAGGCCGAGAGTCCTCCTGCAGCTCCCTGGCACTCAATTCATAACACACATACATAATAACAAAACCGAACAGACAGAGCAACTTTCTCCTCTCTCTACTGCGAGTCTTCTTCTATAAAAAGAAACTTAGAAATAAAACCCAACTAAAAAAAGAACGCACTGTATTAGGACACTGACCTGGAATCCTGCGAAAGTCAAGCTCGCAGCCCATGTTGGGCTGGTGCGAGGCCCATGTCGCAGGGGAACCTGCTGCGTGGGTCTGCTGCGCCCCGTGGAAAGCTTCCTGACAGCGGACACTGCTTCAGTGATCCGGCCCCACCTTCCCACACATCTTCGCAGCACGTTCTCTCAGAGTCATGTCGGGCGTGCGTCAGACCGCCCCACGTGACTGGGTGTTAGAAACACACGCAGCAGATCTCGAAAACAGATTACAAAACAGAAGCCCTTTATAGAGTTCAGCTGTGTCTAGGAAAAGGCAAATCCTCTTGATTTGCCTCCTAAAGGGAGCCCAAAAGGGGCAGAGCTGCATTTATCAGACTTCACTGCACTTAAGCTACTGGATTCAAGAAGGTGTAAATAATAGGACAAGAGAAATTTTGTTTTCAACTGAAAGTCAGGCCCTTCGAAAGGCTAACATCAGGAAGCTGCCAGACTGCATTCAACAGCCAGGAAGGCTGGCCTGAGCTACCTTCCCTGAATACATTATTTCGAAAAGGTAAACATTCGCTCTCTAGGCTTGTAGTTGCGTGCACACAGACTGTGAGAACAAGTATTACCAGATTTGTGAATGATGCAATGTGTCCAGTTAAACAGTTCAGGTTGCTTGCTGGAAAGAGAAAAGGAGGGAAAGGTCCCTGGTTTCCTTTTGTTTTCTGAAAACCCAACAGTGTTTCAGGGCAGCCCACGTACCTTGGGTTCATCTTAGGATGAAGCTTGCCTAGACTCCGGCTTGCTTAAGAAACCTGGCAGACAGGCTTAGAGATTTTCCCTGAAGCCCTGGAGTGATGTAACCATTTCTTGTCTCAACCAAATTCCACGGACACACCAAGCCCCTAATGCAGAAGGCATTTTTAATCTGAATGCAGTGGGAACCCAGTTACCAAAATGACCAGGACATGATTCCTGTCCCTTGGAACTTTTCATTTTGGGGGTGAGGCCTAAACCATCCACCCATTGGTTTCAAAAACCACACACTGCTTTGTGAACCTAAAGGGCCAGTGGATTTCATGACTGTCCCTCTCAGTTGACAGCTGCCTCACAGTGAGGGCAGAGGGAAGGGCGGTTGTACATTTTGGCTTCTGCACAAGAATGAACCTCCAGCTAGTCGCAAGGACAGGTTATCCTAAAATGGACAGGGCACCAACTGCTTTGCTTCTCTGTTGTTAAACTGTCTGCCTCCACCCCCAACGCTCTGCACCCTGGCTTTCGGGGGTCTCCTGCAAGGCAATGAATCCACTTTAGATTGATTCTTTCTGGATGAACCAGAACTGGGCAGAGAGGAATGAACGAGATAAAAAGCATAAAGCGTGGTGCTTGACACATAGTAGGGTTCAGTGAGTGTTGGCTGGAACCAGCTTGAGAACTGACTATGTCCAGCTGAACTGGTGACGGCGGAGAGAACTGCTTACACAGCCCACACTTCACGCGGTACACGGGGCGATCTTTTAAAAACACAAAGGAGATCAAACCGAGCCCGACAGTGGCTTCCCCAGGTACTGGGATGAGCTGGACACCCTTCGCCGTACACTGTCTGCAGGTCTGGTCCACCGTCTCCAGACTCGCTTGCTCCCTTCAGCCCCACTCTCTGTGCTTGTCGCACAGGCCTCCTGAGGCTCACTCCACTCGCTAAAACTCTTCCAGCCCAGGGACCTTCAAACGCCGTGGTCCCAGCACTGCCGATGGCTGGCTCACTCCCGTCGTCAGGCCCAGCGCAAACGTCACCTCAGAGGGACCACCCGTCTCTCCACTTGCTCCGACCTTTACCTGCCCTCACGTCATCTGACTTATTTCCTCCACTGCCGCTCAACCTCAACCTGCAATTATCACGTGTGTCTGTCCGCGTGTTTACTGTCTACTCTACCCACCAGGGAGTAAACTCCAGCAGGAAAAGGACCTTCTCCGCCCTGTTTACCACTCCATCCCCAGGACACAGCACAGGCGAGGACACAGGAAACGTCTACTGAGTGAACAGCGGGTGGTCCTGCACGGAGAACGCCTACAAGGCTCACCCTGGTTAAACAAGCAGCCTGCCCCGTGTTGCACTCCTAACACCGCCCCCCAACCCCGACCCTGCTCGGCTTTTGTCTTTTCCACAACACTCGCAACACTCCAACGGAGTGCACAACTCACTATTCACTGCCCACCTGCCTGCTGGAATCTGAGCCCTCTGGGACAGCACTCTTTAATTTTCTTCACTGAAGTCTATTAATGACCTAGAATGGGTCTGCCACTTAGTAGGCCCCCAGTAAATGTTCATTTGCTAAATGAACAATCTGTTCGGCAAATAGCCATGATTTTGCAAACCAGCATTCCATATGGACAGGCACCACAGAGATCGCCGTTGCAATTTTCATCTGTCAGAATTTCCCCAAACGGGAATACAATTGCTTTTATCTGATCCATTTCAGGTCACGGAGCACTTCACATATTAATTCATTTAATCCCCCCCACAGTCATTCAGGCACATAAAATGGAGAAGTACTAGGTATTCACAGGGTTAAACGAATTAACAGAATCCATGCCCCGCGCACAGAGGCTGACCTCGCCGTGCCCACAGCGCAGGAGTGGGCAGCGGGCCCAGGAGGCGCCCCGCTCTCGGCAGAGCCGCACCTGCTGACGGCAGCAGCCGCTCGCCCCCCACCTGCTGCTGCCTCACCTGCACCTGCACGTGCAGCAGGGGTGAAAGCAGAGCAGCTGCCTCGCTCCCAGCACAAGACGGGCCTGTACTGAGTCCAGGCTGCAGGCTCGCTGCCCAGGATCAGCACCGCAGAAGCCTGCAGCAGGAGTGGACCCAGGCTGAGATTCAAAATCCAGGGCTGTCGGGGGCGGCCAGCCTGGGTCACGTGCCAGGAAGTCACTGAGAAATGCTGCCTGTCATGAAGCAGAATGTTCCAGAGAAGTCCCCAGGAAGGGCAGCAGAGGGCTGGCATTGAGGTGAGCAGACCCCGGCCCAGGGGCAGCGGGCACCGGGGCGACCTGAGCTCTGCTAGCTGAGTTCACAGCTGGTACTTTCAAGGTGCCACCTGAACATGCAGTCAACCGTAGTGTTGCTCCACAGCCCAGAATCTGCTTCACATCCAACACCAAGGCCTTTACACTATACCCACATTACCAACTTAAAACTGTTAGTATTTAAAAAAACACTGATTTTTAAAAGTTGGTTGCCAATTCATTCCCAGAATTCAGGAGACAAAGGTTAAGGACTTGCTCAGCCAGGATTTGCTGATCTCAAGTGAATTCACATGCCTCCCCTCCCCCACCACAAGTATTTAGATTTATCTTCTCACTACAGGCCTGGGAATGATGCAGTCTCAGGCTCAGAGGCTCCTGCTGGGGACTGGTCAGTCAGGGTGCAGCAGGAGAGCACAGGTACGGAGCCGGAGGGAGCACCCAGGGAAGAAACTCTCCAGCGCGGGGCCGATTCTGGGCGTGAGCCTTCTGCGTGGCAGAGGGAAGCGTCTCCCTGCTGACGTGAAGCTGCGGCATCGCCAGTGTGGCTTGTTAAAGCCCGACAGCCAAACTCGAGTATCTTTACCAAGGCTTGTAAGATCCTCTGACAAATGTGTGCTTTCACCACAAGAGAATAAATCCTGAGAGGGTTGAGGCTGTTTACCACAGTCTCCCCAGCTCCCAGCGCCACACTGGGCCCATACCAGGTACTCACAAGCTTGTATTAGATAAATGCAAAAATAACAAGCACCCAGATGCTAAGCTTGACCCACCATACTTGGCACCGTAACCAAGCTTTCTGGATCCAGTGTTAGGTCAATGTGAACTGCTCTGCTATTTTTCAACTATGCTAAAAAGGGGAAATACATTTGATGAACATAAAAAAGTCAAGAAGGATGTCCTGACATGGTAAAAGGAAAAAAGAAAAACACACACACAAAAGAAACAATCAGCACTGCTAGCCTCAAGCTGAGCTGGATCAGACAAGCCAGGGCCTTCCACTGCCCACAAAGTTGTTGCTGTTCTATCGAGTTCAAACATTGAAACACAGCTTTGAAACATTAAAAATTGTCTACTATTACTGCTTTGGCTCAAGGGAAGGAAAACCGTGCCCTGGCTGGGTGGCTGAGCTGATAGGAGCACTGTCCTGTCTACCAAAAGGTTGTGGGTTCGACTCCTGGTTAGGGTACATACCTAGGTTGCAGGTTCAATCCCTGGTCGGGCACGTACAGAAGGCAACCAATCGATGTCTCTCTCTCTTCCTCTCTCTCTAAAATCAATAAACATATCCTTGCATGAGGATTAGGAAAAATGGGGGGAGGGGAAGAAAAGAGCAATCCTTTAAGCTCTACTGATCCACTTTATTCTGGTAAGATAAGACAACAGACCCAAAATGGGAGTTGCTTATGCTAAGCCCGTCACCAAACTGAAACTTAGCTTTGGCCCTCCCAGAAATGGAACCGGAAACTGACCGATCAGAACTAGTAGGTCATCTTCCTGATAAACCCCTGCCCTTGCCTATATGAAAAGTAACCTTGTAATAACCAACCCCCATTTTTGCTCAGTATAATTATCTTGTTTTGCTCCCTTCTGCCTAGAAAATCTCTTGCCTCGTATTTTTGAGCACCTTCCTATTAGATTGCATGCTGCCTGATTCGCAAGACACTGAATAAATCCAAAAAGATCTTTAAAATTTACTCTGTTGACTTTTGTTCTTTAACCTTTAAACTCCAGGGATTGGGTCTTCGTCTCCTGGGTATTTGGAATGAATCAGCAACACTTTTTAAAAAAAAATCAACTTTTCTTTTAATACTAAAAACTTCAAGTTGCAACACGTAAGTGTAGACCTTGGTGTTGCGTGTCTGGAAGAACTTTGTTTCCACACGATGTCCTCCCTTCCAGCACTCCCGTAGGTCTCCCCTCCCTGGGCTACTTTTCCGTGCCTCCTGATGTCTCCCGCACTCAGCCGCCTCTCCTGGGAAGCTAAGTGGGAGAAGGCGCTGGGCCGAGCGAAGCAGCCCTGGGCCTCTGGCCTGCTTCTGGGTCGCAGACTCTGGACGCTTGTGCTTCCCAGAGCGCGATGTGTGACCTGCTCCAAAAGCAGACACAAACCCTCCTCCCCTGTCAGGCAACCGACAGAAGAAAAGGGCATTAGGACGTGTGCCGATAATGGTAATTCTCGGCAGAGCTGCCTACCAGATTCACCTGTGGAACCTCAAAAATTTAAAAAAAAAAAAAGGCTAGGTGGCACCCCCAACGCTGAATCAGAGTTTTGGGAGACAGGGTTTGGGCAGGAGTGCTTTCTGCATCCTGCTGCAAATTACTGAATGATATTATGCAGATAAGTTGGCCCGACGGCGAACTGTACTCTCAAGAAACAGGCCACTACGTCTTGCTGATGACGGAGCGCCTCTCAGCAGCCTCACTGAGGGCTGCTTTAAAGTGACATTGACATCCCACCACACTTGCGTCAATGTCTCCAACATGACTTATTCATTTGGCAGGAGGAAGTTCACCTAAATATGCCAGCCATGCGCTGTACCTCTGATCCCTAACAAACACACACATGTGCCCAGTGCCGTTTAACACGCTCCATCCCGTTTAAGCCTGACAGTAATCTTGGTGTGCAGATGAGGACGCTGGCGTCCAGAGGAGCTGTGTAACTTGACCGAGGTCATAGAGCCACTGAGAGGCAGAGTTGGGATGCAAACCTGGACAGTGTGATTCAAAATCCACACCTGCAGGTTCAGGTTCAGGAGCACCAGGGAATGAGGAATGCAGCTTTCCCGTCTTTCTTAATATGGAAGGCTCACCAGCGAAGGGCCCGGCGTCCTCACCAGGGTGTGGGCGGTTAGCAAACCTGAAGCCCGGGCTTGAGCAGGCTGCCGTGAACAGGGGGACAGGTTACGCCCCGTGGTGTGCTGTTGGGGGAGGGGAGGCTTGGCAGGTAAAGTGCCCTGCGAGGACTGTATCCCGCCGCAAGCCCCCCCCAAGAAGGCGCCACTTCTTTAATATGCAAAATGATGCCATATGCAGCAGCAGGTGGCTCTGGGTGGACACTTAAAGGGAAATTCAGAATTTTTCGTAGCATTTTACTTTTAACGTTTTTTCTTTAAAAATATAAACTTTAAAGTAATTTGTGGCATTCAAAAGTATTATCATTTTGATTTTGATCTACTTCCATCTCAAGGTGATTTTTATCGAGTGCCCACCACCCACTAGTTACAGAGTAAAACACAGGGGCTAGTACAAGACAGCGGCATAGGAAAGGCGCAGGGGTCCCTGGCCGGGTGGCTCAGTTGGCTGGAGTGCTGTCCCATACACCAAAGGTGGCAGGTTTGATTCCCCGTCAGGGCACATACCTAGTTGTGGGTTGGATCCTGGGTTGCAGCACGTTTGGGCACGTACGGGAGGCAGCCAATCGATGCTTGTCTCTCACATCAATGTCTCTCTCTCTCCTCTAAAATCAATAAGCATATACTCAGGTAAGGATTAAAGAAAGGGGGCAGTGGAGAGATTAAAGCCACTGAACCAGGAGAACTGAGACCGCGAGGGACTGTATTAGTCTACTAATGAAACAGGGCGCCACCCAAGGATGATTTACGCTGACTTGGGAGCAGACCGACCACGCCAAGTCCTGTACAACGGCTAAGAACCCAAACATGGCGTCAGGTGGACCTGGCCCTGTAACCTCTGCCTGTGACCTCGGACATGTTTCTCACACTCTGCCCCTCAGCTTCCACATCTGCAAAATGGAGCTAGTAACAGAGTCTGCCAGGGTTAATGTGAGGATTAAGTGCTAATGCCCATAAAGTGTTTGGCGCAGTATCTGGCAAAAAAACAAACAAACACCCAAACTTAAGAAAATATTAGCTTCTACTGGTATTACTATTACCAATTCATTAGTATCAGTCACCTTGTCCCAGGCCCCAAATCCAGTGAAAGTGAGACTCCTTAATGGCAGGGACAAATGCTTCACTTCCCTGTGCCCCCGGGGCCACCAGGCCCCTCCCCAAGGGGCTCACTCACTGCCGTTCCCCATGCACAGGGGCAGAGGGTGGCGACATCTGAGCCTGAGCTCGCATTTGGCCACTTAGTCACAGTGCCGGCTAAATGATTTTCCCTTCTTTCTTTAGTTGCATTGCTTGTTAGCATTTCTTCTAAGCATTCAGAAAAATTCAAGAATTTAAATAAAAATCACTCAAGTTTGTTACTTATTAGCGACTCTGGTAAAAAGCGTGACAGGAAAGAGACCAACGTAATTTGTTTAGACAAATATTTAAATCACTGATGAACTTCCCCATGTGTACGCGCTTGCCCACTTAAACCAGAAGGTCACGCCAATTTGGCTGGAGAAAACAAGGCCGGGGCACTGTTTATTGGGTCATGTGCCTGTTTATATAGTGCTATTCTGAACTTCACGAAAAGGCTCCCCTGTGTCCCGATTCACCCCCTCTCCTGTCTGTTTACAGATTCCTGGCAGATTCCATTTGCTTCTCTCCCCTCACTCCAAGGGGATTTTGGGAGGGCAAAGTCGCGGGACCTCTTCTCTCTGACTTTAAACTAGGAACCTAGTAACATGCCAGTTTGGTTACGACTTTTTTTAGTGAATACTTTATTATTTGATCTTTAATTTAAAATTCTTTAAGTCTCAGTTTAATGGACGATTCATTAGGTTGTCATTTGTTCAGACAAAAATATTGAAAATGTTGGTTAGGTTTGAAGTTTAGCCCATTTATGCGCTTATTTTGAATTTTGGTTCAAGGACTACCATCGAAATCCTTGATTAAAAATCTTGACAGCTGTCAGAAGTAGTCAGTAGTTGCAAGCTTTCTTTCCCTTTCCCTGTTCCCCTCTTCCTACGTAGTATCTGTAGCCTCAGAGAGTGGAGCAGGACCTCTGCTCACACATGACTGGGTTCAAATTCCAGGTCTGACACTTAGTAGCTGTGTGAACTTAAACAAGTTAATTACCATCTCAAGAAATGCATTTCCTGCCTCCACCTATTAAGTAAGTATAATAATGCAACTTAGTTCTTCATAGGACTAGATGAGATAATATAGATACAATGGATCTCCTTCTATTGCTCTTTTTCACCCTGATGATTTTTCCACAAAAAGTCCAGGAAACCAATACCTACGACTCTCTTCTCTAGCCCATCTCATTATGTTAATAGCAACCAATTTAATGCTTGTTGGTTGAAAGGGTGCTGGAGGCCAGGGTCATTTTGTAAGTGGGGATTTCCCTGAGCTGAGCTCAAGTGGAGAATGAGCGGCCTGGAGAGTCCTGGCTTCCAGGACCCCCAGTGAGCCTGGGCAAGATCGGCTCTGCAGGCTGGACGGTCAGGAGCTACTGGGCTCAGGCCAGGCAGACCCGGAAGAAGGGGAGTTAGCTAAAACGTGCTCGTGGAAGGTTAGTGCAAAAATAAATAGTAAAATAAGGGAGTGTGGGTTCGTTATAGACATTGTAATGTAATTGAAAGACCGTGTACTTTTAAAGAATAGATATATGCGTCACAATGTAATAGGATGATACATAAAGCCAGTAACTGTATTAACAGATACCAAATCAATAACGCTACTGTTTGGGGAACCCCGCATGCCCATTACAGATACTGCACTCCCACACCCCCTGCAGCCCTACTGTGAAGAGTAAGTACAGAGTAAGAACTCTGGACAGCCAGAGAACTTCTACCCCTTGAGTGGTTTCTCTAGGTCCCAGATTGCTCCTTCCAGTCTGGGCGCAGGCACTGAGATTGCCCTCAGGCCACCATCTTAGCCCCAGACTGCATTCTTACCGTGGTTCTGCACACGCAGAAACCCCACCACACGCAAAGGTGGCCAGCTTCACCAGCATGAGGAGACAAAGCTGGGGCAGGCAAAGCATTTTACACCCCTGAGTGCTCTGTTCCCTACACACCTTCATTCTGTTCCCTCCTCCCGTGGCTGGGAAGTGGGCCTTTAAGCACAGTAAGGCAAGTTAGGCTCTGAGTGGCGACCTATGCCAGCAGGACGGAGAGGAGGCAGGGCAGAGGGGCGACCAGGACCAGGAGAGGTGGGGCCGGAGGCAGGGTACAGGGTGGGGAGGCCATGGAAGAAAAGGCTCGCGACTCCCTTCCGAGGCCTCTGTATCGACGCCTCCCTAATAAACAGAACCCCAGGCGCATGACAACTCAGGAGAAGGTCTGGCTTCCTGTGTCACTGAGCCTGCCCACCCTGCTTTTCCAGGGGTCTTAATAACAGGGTTAGAGTCACATAAGGAAATTGCACAGGGTGGTTCCTAGTTCTGAGAGCAGGCGGCCCCTCTTAAAAACACGATCCCTTAGGGAGGGCCTTTCCCTGGCAGTGGCTTTTTCGGAGCTGTGTTTTCAGGTTCCTTGACGTTGGATGAGCCACAGCCCACTCCCAGGCCACAGTGCCAAGTCCACAAGATGGTACTGAGTCCTCACGAAGAAATGCTCTTGTGTTCCAAGGAGCTGGCAGTCCAGTCCCCCAAACCATTCTCAAAGTGGGCAGATGAGCGAGCATCGCTTCCCAATGGACAGACACTGGTGTTTTAGGTAACAAAAAGCCAAGCCGGTGTGCTTCTTGGTGGAGTGTGCTCTCTAACTTGGTCTGGATTTGCTGCAAATGGATTCTAGAGATTCTTCAGAGCAGGGGTGGGGGCCGCTCCACCCAGTGCGGGAATTTCCTCTTTAGAGGAGCGGCTCTCACCGGGAACAGTCGGGGGCCCTGAACTGTGTGACCCCTGCCACAGGACAGCCCTTCGACAGTTTACTGGGCTTATCCCTTTCCCAGGCTGAACTGTTCCCTGGTAGGAGAATTTTACAGACAAAAGGAACTTTACGGGTTATTCATTTCAGATTACGAAAATCAAAGCCCGGAGAAGTAACTTGCCTAAGATTCCGTGGTGTGACCGAAACACATCCCCAGACACGCCTTACTGTGCTCCTCCGGTGGCAGGCCCAGCGGCCGGCTCACCAACCGCGGGGCCTTAGAAAGTGCTTATCTCACCGGGCCTCGGTCTCCTCCGCAGACCGGAGCGAACGACACACTCGACATGCTCCTCCCGGGGTGCGGGGGTGACAGTGCCTGAGCAGCCCGCCAGCACGCAGAGAACAGCAAGTGCTGGGTAACTGATTTTATTTACAACATACAGGCTATTTTTGTTTTCTTGTTTTGCATGGAATTCGCCTTCCTCCCCTTGTTTTTCTTTTTCCTTTTAAGCTTCCAAACTTCCAGGGCTGAATCTTTTAACCAAAACTTAAAAACTCCTGTATTTAGTCTGCTTATATTCAGTCTGTGGGAGTACTTTAGAATGTCAATTCTGTCTTAAGATATACCTACTGATTCCTTAAAGATGCCGGGCTGGTCCCTGCCCCACGAACCTTCAGGTAAGCTTGGCAGGTGATGTCTGGGACAGAGAGCCACGCTGAGTTCCGTGCCCGCCTCCGCAAGAGAGGCAGAAGGCGACCCTTCTTCTTAACCACTCAGGCTGTATTTCCAGACAGAGGCTGTTATACTAATGACAACGTGGAAAATGTTTTTCAACCTATTATAATACAAAAAAGTAAAGCCTTGGTTTCATCTTTAAAGAGGAAGGAGACTGAACGCACACAGCAGGAAGTGGCCTGTAAGGAGCAGCACGGGCCACGTGGACACAGTCACGCGTCTGGAACCGAGAGGCTGAGCCCTCAGGGGGAGGGGCTCCCGCACCCCTGAGAGGCCTTCAGAGCTGCTGAACGTGAAACTACTGGGAATCACCTACGCGGAAAAGAACAGGACGTTGAGATCCCAGGAGCTGATCTGTGGTCCCTGAGCTGGCCCGTGGTTCTGGTGACTCGACCTGATCCCCGACCAGACACACTGGCTCAGCCCCACTGTTTCAGTAGTGCAGCCAGCGCCACCTTGTAAACACTCTCCTCCATCCCTGCGCCCTCCCTGACTCAGCCCATTTGGTTTTCTGGGGCTTGCCCTCAGCCTCCTCCTACCACCCCGCCAGGGAAGGCAGGCAGGCGGCCCGCACTCCGCCCTGCCGTGTCCACGGACCGCAGAGCCTCGCCCTCCCCGTCCTGCCTCTTCCCGAGGGCCACCTGTCTGGCCGAGGCACAGAGCAGAGGCAAGGACACCTGTCCTTACTCCTGGTTAGCCCTTTGCCATTTACAAGCCACTTCCATACGCACCATCTCCTTTTCTGTCTCACAACACTGCATGGGCTATGAAATAATACTTCCATTTCAACGATGAAGACACTGAGGCTCAGAAAAATGAAGCCAAATCCCAACACCACACAGCTTGTCATGGACAGAGTCGGGTTTTCAACCCTGACTGGGTGACCTGGGTCACAAACTCTTTCTAGCCTCCCGAAAAGGAAGGCCACGTTTATGGGGTTTCAAATGTTGGTAGATGTGAATCACCAATCTCATCTTTTGATTGATGTTTCATAGTTGTGTTAGTTTGG